CAAGCCCGAGTCACCTTGATGTGTCAATTTAAAGTTATACGCCATCCATCTGCCGGCCCAGACACACAGTGGCGCCCTGATTGGAGGTCGAAGGTCGGCTCCACACACCAGCCTCAGCTTCCACCGGGCGCTGGTGTTCAGACAGAGCAGCGACGAGGACGCTTTGAGCCAGGTTGGTGGTGGGAGGCTGCATTCTGGGCTCTGGACAAAGGTCTGGTAGATCACTACAGTCATCAGCTACTGAAAACCATTTGGATATGATTATTATTATTATTATTATTATTATTATTATTATTATTATTATTATTATTATTATTATTATTATTATTATTAATAATAATAATAATAATAATAATAATAATAATAATAATAATAATAATAATGTATTTATTTATTTATTTTATATATTTCCTCTCAGAGATCAATACAGTTTTTTTCTGATTTTAATTCTGATATCAGTTCATAGAACAATCAGCAGCCAGAACTCTGGATAGGACAGAACCCAGGGTGTGGATGTGATGGACGTTTACAGCCCATAATAAATATCAGCAGTTCCATATTTAACATTTCAGGACACTTCTTATTTTTCTATTTTTCCACAAACACATTAAATAGAGAAACCATGTTGTTTTCAGTTATTTAAGGTGGAGACGTACACAGCCCCAGTGTGTGTGTCATGACAACAGAACCAGAACCACAGACCTCTATTTAGTGCCAACTCCAGTACATCTGCAGCAGACTCATACTGGCCTGTAGTCTGACTGATAACTATTAAACCATCCGGCCGACAGAGAGGACCTCGGGCTTATCAATGAGAACAAAATGGACCAGTCTGAGTGCTGGGCTATACGTCCCACAGCCCGACCATCAGAACACACACATGAGGACGTGAGATCTGTGGAGCTCACCTCAGATCAAACACCTCGACAGAACCTACAGGATCCAATCTAAACCAAACTGGGATGTTTCTGTTCTAGTTGATTCACTTATGAATATAGCACCCGACTGATAAACTTGTAATTAAAATAGTTCTGGACTCCTTCTGTAGGTGGATTATTGCACCAATCCGACCCGCATCCATCAAGAGACGACCTGTACTATCCTGGGACTCAGACTGAGGATCTCCAAGGACTCCTAAAACCTCTTGAAGGACCCTACAACCCTTTTAAAAACACTTAAAGCACCACCTGAATTACTCCTCAGACGCTTTGCATGAAGCCTGCTCCAGATGTGTGGAGCCTCCTCATGACCAGACCTCCCCGTGGACCTCCACTCCACAGACCCCTGGTGTGCAGAAAGCGTTTGATGCAGCTGGTGCCCATTGGTGCCTGGAGGGCCGGCGCTGACAGCAGGCCGCTGAATGCAGCAGCGCCGGGCAGCCGGCTGAGCTGAGGTGGCGGCAGCGGCGGAGGAATTGTGGTGTTGTTCTCTGAGACTGAACTCTCAGCCCTTTTGTACAGCAGCAGGGCTTCGATAGCTCTAAAGTGACACCTCCATGCTGCTTTAAAAGCTAAGTAGCACAAAGGTTGAACAAGGAACTGAGAGAAATGTTCACTTAGTCGACATCTGGGCTGAAAAAACACAACGCTCCACACACTCAGCAGCTCCCACTTGATGGCCACACAATGCACAAGAGTGTGTGTGTGTGTGTGTGTGTGTGTGTGAACTGAGCGTGTTCAGGCACACAGCATGTGGCCATTTGTGTGAATGCATTTTCTATATAATTGAATTAATTCATGCGGCCTGCTCTTGGTTTGAGCTTCAAACAGCTCCATGAAAACATATTGCTTTTTCATTATGACCACATCATTTAGAGGTCTATGGTGAGGGGGGGTTCAGGGGGCTGGGGGAGGTGGTGTGTGTGTGCGTGTGTGTGTGTGTGTAGGGGTTCACGCTGTGTGAGCTGTGTGTCGGGATCTCAGTGGGACTTTCCTTCCTGCTTGACACTGCAGGCCCCATTTGTACCGTTTGATAATAACGCTTTAATGCGACTGCTGCCGGTGGGACCACTGCATCTGATCCCGGGGGGGATGGGGCAGGAGGGGGTGGGGTGGCTGCCTGACAAAGTGCTGTACCGAGACCCCGTTTGCATTTCTTACCACCGTCATCAGCGGCTGGATTCCTTAAATGCTCCTGTGATCAGACTTTAGAGCTACGATGGGAGGAAGGAGGCAGATTAATGATGCCAGCCAGAAACAGAGTCACTACAAGAGCTCCTGATAATAGAGAATAAAGACCAGGATAGTGGAAAAGAAAAAGGCAGAATCACACACTCACACACACTCACACACACACTCACACACACACACACACACACACACACACACACACACACACTCACACAAGATGTAGTTCAGAAAAAAATCTAAGAAACACCTCTCATCTAAACAGCAGGTCAGATCTTTACAGCTTGTTTTTTTTTTTTTTTTTTGCACATTAGAACTGAAACGTGTTTTTAAATGGTGGTTCTGGTGGAGCTGCAGGTCTGTCCACATGTATAAGTGGTGGCCTCTGAATTATCAGAACACCGGGATAATGTAATTCTTATAGAGAGGAAGGAGGACAACAGCAACATGTCAGCAGCTACAGTTCCAGTGAAGTGAAGGGAATGAACGCAGAGTGTGTGTATGCGGGGTGTGTATGCGGGGTGTGTAGAAGAACACGAACAGCTCCATCCTAACACTGCTCTGAATTAAACGAGCATTAATATAAAGGCTGAGGAAGAACCCTGACGAGCAGGACGGAGAGCTGGAGTCCAGGAGCAGGAGCTTAATTAAATAGAGGAGCGCCAGTGATCGTCCCGCTTCTCCTGCTCCGGTCCGCGGTACCTGGATGCCGCCGCCGCCGCCGCTGCTCTTATCGGGGTCAAGGCGCGGCTCTCAGACAAGAGGCTTAGCAGAGACAAGAGCCCCTAACACGAAATAAAACCATCAAAGTTCAGCGCTAATCCCCGCTGCTGTGGATAAGGCCGACTGCTAACGGGCTGCACAATAAGCTGCGTTTACTCTGGGCGGGATGGCTGAGAGAGAGAGAGAGAGAGAGAGAGAGAGAGAGAGAGAGAGAGTGTGTGTGTGTGTGTGTGTGTGTG